TTTTAGCTACCAACTGTTATAACCTACCTTCTGGAATCAATCATAGCTTCCTTTAATCCCCCATGTGAGTTCCCCATTTTACAGCCTTTCCTACTCAAAGGCTTCAGAAAATGCCCTTTGTTTTTTGTCCTCTATGTTTTAATCATTGCTCAATTGTCAAAGTTTATTTTCCCTCAGTACTAATCAAATTGTTTAATTCGGGATTTTGAGGTTTCAAGGACCCGAAATTCAGTAAGTTAGCTCATGTAAAAGGTTTTCTTAGAATACTGACATGAAATTTCTCGGAAATAGAAACCAAACTGCTCTTGAACCTTGCATCTGTTCAGAATACTTAGTACTCTGAAGCCTCGTATCTGCTGTGAATATTTTAGGCTTAAATACAATTTTTTTTTCACATAAGAAGAACTCTGGTGGTAACCAGTTGCTGGTTCTTATCTCAATATCATAAAAACCAGTGACACTGTCTTTCTCCTTCTTTCCTTTATGATCACAAGAGGGCTGCTATAGCTTTTGTGATCATGTCCATGTTCAAAGCAGGTAGAAAGGAAAGGGAAGCCAGTTTTTATGTTTGGTTATTACATTTATAAGAACTCTATCATCTGTGCTTATAGCTGCTTGTGAACAAAGTGAAGTAACAAGCCACAAATTATGAGAAAAAATAATAACAGAAATAACTACTTTTTTTCTTTTTTTGAGATAGAATCTCACTTGGTTACCCTGGTAGAGTGCCATGGCATCACAGCTCCCAGGAACTTCAAACTCTGTGGCTCAAGTGATCCTCTTCCTCAGCCTTCCAAGTAACTGAGCGTATAGGTGCTTGCCACAATTCCTGGCTTTTTTTGTTGGTTTGTTTTTTGTTTTTTTAGTGGAGACAGGCTCTTGCTCTTGCTCAGGCTGATTTCGAACTCCTGAGCTCAAGCAATCCACTCATCTTGGCCCCCCCAGAGTGCTAGGATTACAGGTGAAATCTGTAATCCTAGCCACTGTGCCCAGCCAAAGAACTACTACTGAGACTATCTAAAGAATGTTTTGTAATTTAATAAGACAAATAACCTAATAGAAAAATTGCAAAGGAAATAAACAGGAAGTTAATAGGACAGGAAACATTTTAGTGAATAAATATAGGAAAAGATTTAACAAGTGAAGGTGATATTATAAAAAAACAGGAAAAGATGTCCAACCATATTAGTGATCAAGGAAATGCAAAGTCAGACTCCATTGAGATATACATTATCCTCACTAAATTAGCAGCAATAAAGAAATCTCAAAATATGGTGTTGATGAGATTGTAGAGTCTTATCCACCACCAGCAGGGTTGAGGGTGAAATGGTATAACCATTTAAGGTACAATCTGGGATTATCTCATGAAGTTAATGGGGGCATACGCCATCATACAGCTACTAATTCTATACAGCAGACAGGTACATGAATGTTCATAGTAGCAATATTTGCAAAAATGGAAAGAACCCAGATAACCATTGTTAGGAGAATGAATAAAGTGATATATTCATATGAGAAACCTACAATTGAAGCAACATAAATTAATGTAACTGAGTGAAAAAAAAAATCAAGGGCAGGATACTACATAAAAATCAAGAAGAGATACCACATAATGTTTTTAAGAGCCAAAACAAGCTAAATAATTATATTTTTAGAGATACATATACATGTGGTTAAATCACAGGGAAAAAAACAAAGCAAGGAAAAGATAACACAAGATTCAGGATAGTGGTTACCTTTTCTGAATGAGGGAACAAGAAAGGGATAAAAACACACTTGTAGATTCAAGGACACTGTAAAGATCTAGCGGTTCAGTTGAATAGATGATTAATAGTTGCTCATTTTATTATTATGGTTCATAACTTATATGTTCTGTATTTATGTATAAAATATCACATCGTAGAAACTTTAATAAGGTCAGAAAAAAATGGTTTTGATAGTTAAGTAGGAAAAAATTGTAATACACCATGTAGTGAAATTTTCTTTTTGGAGCATATGCACTGGGAAATCAGACATTCACATTTTTCGTTGTTTTAGTTTTTTTTTTTTTTTGTAGAGACAGAGTCTCACTTTTTCGCCCTTGGTAGATTGCAGTGCAGTCGCTCCAGCAACCTCCAACTCCTGGGCTTAGGCGATTCTTCTGCCTCAGCCTCCCAAGTAGCTGGGACTACAGGCGCCTGCCACAACGCCCGGCTATTTTTTGTTGCAGTTTGGCCGGGGCTGGGTTTGAACCCGCCACCCTCGGTATATGGGGCCGGTGCCCTACTCACTGAGCCACAGGCGCCTCCCCGTTGCTTTAGTTTTACAGTATGCTTTGAGTATAATAAAAACTGTTTTTGCTTCAGTCCATTTGGAGAGAAAGGACATACACAGATGGAAAACACAAATACCCTAGGGGAACTGAGTCTTAATACTTCGCAGAGATTTTATGAAATAAATAAGTAGCTGAGACAGGGAGCAGTGTCAGAATGCAGAGAGAGACTTACCAATAATATCATGTTACAGAGCACTGTAAGCACAGGAATGGAAACAGAGGTATTTAAAGAGAAAATGGAAATGCGGTATGTAGATCACAGACTAGTTTTCAAGAAGTATAATAGTGACAGAAGAGGGGAAACTTATTTTTCTCTTCCTCAGGAAACTTTCTGACTATTCTTCCCGAGCCCACCCTACTTTGCTTTTGTTTGATGTCTGTATTCAGGGAGAAAGATACAGGCCCAAGGCATTTAAGGAAGCCTCTCAGGTTTCACATTCATTCCAGGGAAACACATCTGCTTCCCAGGGGATGTTAACAGTGTCACTATTCAATGTTTCCCTTTGTATTATTTTCACCACCATTTCAAAGTTATTTCACTCATTCTCAATCCCAAAGATCACGCCAGAACCCAGTCATAACTACAAATAAAAACAAAGACTCCCCACCTCAAAACAAAATGAGGACGTACGAATTGCTTATAATCTGCGCATAGCACATGTCCCATGAAAGAGAACTGGATATGACAATGCATTTTAATGGACTTTGGTTTATTAGTCTATTTTTAAAGCTATCTGTAAAATATTAGTCTATTTTTAAAGCTACTCTTCCAAAGGGCAAAAAACTTGTTGATCTATCGACTGTTTATTTCCTTCTCACCCAAGAAAATGTCTGTTGGTATTGGAGAGGGGCAGGAAAGAACATAAATATTCCCACCCTATGAAGTCTTTCCAGAGCTCCCAGGTAAAACCCGACTCTTTCCTTTGTGTGTCTGTTGTACACCAACACACTTCTATCACAATATTCATTTAATTACATACTTCCTAACTGGGTGTCAGGTTTATTGAAGGGACAGACCTCTTGCTTATTTTGGTCTCTCCAGAGATGAGCACCAGGTCTAGTATAAATTGGGGGCTCAATAAACAGTGAATGAATGAATGAGTAAACAAAATCATTAATCAGTAAGGAATTTTGAATGCTTACTTTTGAAAAAGCACTTTGAAAGTGAATGTTTATTTCAAAAGCTGTTTAAATAAGACACTTAGCCTAGGCTGCATCTGGCACACAGTAAATGCTCAAGAATTTTTTTGATGAATACCTAATATTTAGATATCACAAGTACTTTCAATTTATTGTGGCCTTGCAGTCTGGAGTCATAACTCTGGAAGGAAAGCCACAATAAGCAAGAGCACATTTTTCTCAGGTGCAAATTGTTCAAAGCTTTTAGAAGCTATTCAAACAAAAGGTAAAATCTAAAATTCACATGAAAAGAAAAATATCCTTCTTCAAATATATTTTTTGTTATGGGGGGAAATCCCTTGAGGATCTATCTTCAGACCCTCTGAGTTTAATGTTATCTCTCCTTTGGTTTAAGGTGCTATGCAGGAAAAGCCTGAGAAGTAGTAGGTGCATTTTGTAATTTTACAACTTTGTATAAGAAAGTAAGTTATGAATGGGGAGGAAAGATACCAATTGTTAACATAGGCAGAGAGTTTAACTCTATAAAGCAATGTCCATATTATCTATTCTGGGCTTCACTACTTCCTCTTATCTGGAACATAGAGCAAGGATTATGAGCACCCCTATTTTAAAGATTTGGAGACTGAGATTACTAAATCTGCTCTAAGGTCCTCCTGGGAATGGAGCAGGAGAAGTGCTTGTTGTTAAAGAAAAATTATTCTGTCGATTGTTAATCCACAACAAAGACTTTATTCAAGACTACTGCAGTAAGGGTCATGGCTATTACAACAGAAGAGAGAAACTGAGCTCAATTCAGAATATAGCAAAGACAGGTGGGGACTTATAGGCAAGAAACAAGTAGAATGTGTGTGTGTGTGGTGCGGTGTCAGTGGATGAAAATCACTAAAAAGAAGACATCAAGGGTAGGGGGATGCTTCCTAAAGGCAGGCAGGCCAAATACTTCTACATCAAAGGTGGATGTACAAGAAATTTGATCAGCTGTCAAATATCAAGGGTGACCAGATATTGAGGAGAGATGATTTGCAGGATTCTTGCTAAAAGTGGGCTCAGCCAGTACACAGGGAAGTTAATGATGAGGCCTAGTCGAGAAGAGGGCTCAGAGGGACCTAACCAAAGTTTAGCCAAGGGAGAGTCTCTGTTACTGCCTACTCTGACCTTTTTTTTTTTTTTGCCCCCTCTTAAACTCTGTAGTTAAAGAATCTGACATCTTTATTACCTGATCCCCGCCCAGGGAAGAGGAGTAGAGTGGCAGGCAGCCAGTGCTCTAGGATCATGGCTAGGGGACCTCGCTCTCCTTTGAAAACAGCAATGCCTAGCAGCTGCTGCTAAGGAGGCCGAGTACGGAGACCAATCAGCGGGCCTCGGATCCGGAGCAGAGCCGCCTAGCTCCGAACTCGAGGCACCCCCGCGCCCCGCCTCGCAGCTCGGCCTGCACCTAACTCCCGGCCCGGCTCCGCCGGTCGGGTGGGGCGGGGCCGGCTGCGCTGATTGGCTGCCGGCCCGGCCTGGGGTTCCCCGGCCCCGCCCCTGCTGTGCTCCCGCAGTCCGCAAGGCCGCGCGCCGGCCGATTCCGCGCTGCCCGCCGGGAGGGGCTGGAGCCCGTGTTCCTCCTCCTTACTGGTCCCCATCCTTAAAGCACGAGTCCGGACGCCCCGCCTGTTGGAGAGGGCGCTGGGATCTGGACGGCTAGCAGGCGGGGCAGACCCGGGCCGGCCGAGGAGAGTCTGAGGCGACAGAGCTGCTGCGGCTGGCTCACGAGTGTCTCGGCCCTGGCCGAGTGTTTCTGGGGGCTTTGAGGGAAGGGGTCCCGGTCGCCATTGCTGGCGGTCGGAACGCCGCCTGGTCCTAGTCTGCCTGCCCTCAGCTGCTGTCCTCCGGCTGGGAGCCGTAGCTCCAGGCCGTCTCCAGTCCCCGGCCCAGGCTCCAGAACTGAGGGCCTCGGCCGCCGGCCGAAGCTCTGTCCACCGCCCGCGCCGGGCAGCCCGGGCCAAGACCATGTTTGACAAGACGCGGCTGCCGTACGTGGCCCTCGATGTGCTCTGCGTGGTGCTGGGTACGTACGCGCCGCCGGCCCGAGGGGCGTGTGCGCGCGAGCCCGGGGTAGGGTGTGCATAGCTGCGGACGATGCCTGTACCCTGGGAGAGTCGCGGAGCCGCAGACTGGCGGGTGGGGGTGTGTGCCTGGCGTGCGCGCCGCTGTGGGGCGAGATGCTGGGGCGGCTTCGGCAGCCGGGGACCCCGCTTTGCAGCCTGCATCCTGGCTCCCGCGTGGCCGTCGCTGTCTGTCTGTTGCCCGCCGGTGCACTGAGCCCAGCCCTGCTTGGACGCTGTTCACGCCTCTGCGCTCCGTCCTTTGCTCCTGTCCTCTGTTTCTGATTACACTCTAGCTGGGCAGGGTGGGCTCCTACTCTTTCTACTGTAGAGAAGCCTAGTCACTAGTTCATCAGGTTCACTAGCGAAATTGGAGGTTTGATACTCTGGGGGTTCTCAGTAGCAGGCGCCACTGCTTGGTTTATCTTATTAGGAAAAGCAGTTTAATTTTTCGGCTATAAAAGGCTAGAATGTGCCTAATTAGAAGGTGTTGCCAGGTTGTAAATTGTCAGGTTGCAAATGGGGATGAAGATGCCAAGTTTCTGCCTATAGGTCTGAAGCAGCTTGCTTTGGGGGGTAGCGTGGGGAGACCTGTTTCCAGTTCTCTGCACAGACCTTGTTCTGGTATAGCTTTCCATCTCCTGTGACAGCCGGGCGTGGAGCTCTAGACATTCTTTGACTGCAGCAAATTTGGCGCTGTCGTCCTAATTGAGAGTTTGGTACTGGTGCTTCTGGTTGCCAGTTCCGTTTTGTTTGTGTGTATATGTGTGTGTGTGTGTGTGTGTGTGTGTGTGTTTGACAAGAATTGGAGTCATCTGGATAAGAGATAGGCGTTGAAGGAATGCCTTTCACCTTTTAAAAAATGTGTATTGTGTAAGGCAGTTATGTTGTGAACTATTTATGTTACGGAAAAAACAAACCCAAGGAGACCTGCTGAAGATTTGGGTAGTGCTACTCATGTTTAAATAATCCATGTAGTAGTAGTAGTACTGGCAAGTTCTCAGGGTCAGAGATCTGTCGCTTTAGTGTCCTAGATGGAAGTCTGCATAATGGCTTCTCATTAGTTGGAAATTCCCCCATTTTTATCCACTGTCCTGCTTCCAGCCTGACCATTTAGGCATTTGCAATCTTGTCACGAACCTTACCTGTTTTTTTTAAGGAAAAATTCCTTTTTGTTATCTGTGAAACATCTTCATGTTTTGTCAGGACACTTCTTGTGTACCTTCACAGTGAATTTTAGGAATTAAGTTTAGGAAAAGGAAACAATTTTGAAACACTATCTTTATAAAAACGTAATCCTTTCAGATGCCAGGACATATTTATGATTATACTAAAATATATTCAATTTCTTTATTGGCATTGAAAAATATACCTTTGGTGGAGATGTTAAATTAAAGAATTTATTAACTTGTACTCAGTGGAGCTTTGTTAAACTTTATGTTTTAATAAAAGGAGAGGAAAATGTTAAATTGGAATTCATTTTAGTAATTCTAATACAGTGAATGTTATTCCATCATTGCCACATTGTGTACTTTCAGAATTACATATTATCTATCCCTTTTCCTACTTTTTGGGAATTATTAATTTGGAAAAAAAAACAAACATGTTTTATGTAGGCCAAATACGGATTGGGAAAGATGAAACATAATACTGCTCTGAGGTAGTTGAAACTCTAATTAAACATAAACCCATATGGTAGAATCCGTGTTTTTTAAAAAATTCATGTATAATGGAGGAATGCGTAGTAATGCAGTACAATTTTATAAATTATAGATTGTAGCCTATATTTTCAACATGCAAACATCACATAATTATCCTGTATAGGTTAGAGTAATTTTTTTTGTTTTTTTTTTTGAGACAGAGCCTCAAGCTGTCCCCCTGGGTAGAGTGCTTTGGCTTCACTACTCACAGCAACCTCTAACTCCTGGGCTCAAGCGAGTCTCCTGCCTCCGCCTCCTAAGTAGCTGGGACCACAGGTGCCCGCCACAACACCCGGCTATTTTTTGGTTGCAGCCATTATTGTTGTTTGGCGGGTCTGGGCTGGATTCGAACCTGCCACCTTAGGTGTACATGGCTGGTGCCTTAGCCACTTGAGCCACAGGCGCCGAGCCAGGTTAGAGTAATTTTATTGCTTCGTTGAGCTGACAGTTGCAGTAGTATGATGGCTCTCAAAAATATAAAATTGTGTTTATGATTTTAAATGTCTTCAGTGGAAAAATCTTGCATTAAGTTTGATGTACAAAAAGACACCTGGTCTATTTGAAACATTATATTTTACCTATTTTATATTGCTGGAGTTTCATTTAAAGTAATTTGGTGTATTATCAAGATAACCCCAGAATTTCCTTTTCCGAAGTAGAAAGTGACTTATTTTACTAACTTAGTTGGATATATGAGATATTAGATTTAACATCAAGTCTGCATTACAAACAGCAGTGAGGGAGAACAGTGGAGCAGGAAAAAATTCAGTGGAGCAGAATTTTTTCATATTGACTTTGGAAGACACATGTTTTTATAGCAAACTCACCTTTCTAATGGAATCTGTCATATTGAATTTGGTTTTTATTCACCTTACTGATGGCAGGATATTGGCAGTTTAAAATCATGGTAGCTTGAGGTGTGGTGCCTATGGCTCAAAGGGTTAGGGCCTTGGCCCCATATGCTGGAGGTGGAGATGGCGGGTTCAAAACCAGCCCTGGCCAAAAAAAAAAAAAAAAAAAAAAAACTGCAAAAAAAAAATTGTGGTAGCTTGAAGAGAGTTATCAACTTGGTATTAACTTTTTTCCTTTTTCTGTGGAGAAGCTACAGGTTAAGAGTTGACTATACAGCCATAAATACAGGGTTATGTGAAAGTGATTCATAATTATAAGGTGAATATGTTCTAGATTTTGTTATAGACCACTCCAGCGTCACATCTGTTTTAATATGACAATGTCAGATAAATGTGTCACACAACTACTTTATATTTTTACTGAGGGTGATGTCTGTTGAAGTAGTCATAAAACGTGTGTGTATATTTCTACTCCCAATTCAACTTTGTCTTGACCCATCGGGCTCCTATGGCCCTGGTCTCGGTTAGCGCAGGAAGGAACCAGGTGAGAGGCGGATTAGAAGTACAAGCTTGTGGAAGGCGGGCTAGCCCTTACTTTCTAGGTAGCCCCGAGCAACCTCCGCACCAGCCTTTTATTGAGCCAGAACAACACAGGTGGGGGAGTAATTCACAGTGACTACGTGCTGAGGGCACAGGCTCCTTCTCCACAAGGAACTCCTGTGGACGAATGGCCCGAGGTCCACGCCTCAGCTGCAGATCATCTTGCTTGGATGTCATCTGGCTCTTGGTGTCTCCTACACAACTTTATCAGTGAAACATGAATTCCTCTTACACATTTCCAAATTTTTTAGTTACTTTAGTGACTCTGGTAAATCCTTGCAAAAAGAACGATAATTTTGAGGGGTAATGTGTATTGATTCCTTTCTGAAATGGAGCATAGTCTTACCATCTTTTCTTTGGCTCTTTGAAGACTGGTTCTGTGATTCTAGAAAAGACTATATACACAAATGAGCACATCAAAGTTGTACTACAGAGAAAGAAGTGGTTGGTATGAAAGGGGCTATGTTTTAGCCTGGGGGTGGGGAACCTGTGGCCTTACGGGTACACGTGGCTTTCTAGAGTCTTACCTGCATTCTTTAAGTTTTACAGAACAAATTCTTTTAATAAAAGGTCACACTTAAGGATCTAGAAAGCCACATGTGGCCTTATGGCTGCAGGTTCCCCACCCCTGTATTTAGCGCAATGTGTTAAACCATGTCCTGAATATACCTTATTAATGTTTAATTGCTAAGGGTCATTTCCGATTTTAGGCTCCATACCATTAAGATGCCAATTAGTAGACTCTGAATACTTTAATTCATTCCATGCACATTGATTGAAGGCCAACTTTGTGCCTGGTACCATGTTTTGGTTTTAGGGATACTTACATGAATAAGACAGGCCCTGCCCTAAAGGAGCTCAGAGTCTGATGAGGGAGAAACAAATGAACAAGAGGTTATAATACATCATGATAAGCCAATAGAATAGGTGCCCTTTGAGCGCAGAGAAGGACCTTAGATCACCTTCATTATAGATAAATGGCTTTTCTGTTTATTCTTAGAGATGCAGAAATGTCAGAAATTACTTAGAATTACTCTTAGAATCTTTTTTTTTCTTCTCCAACTTGAGTTTGAGGAACCCAGTTAAATACCTGTTTGCAGGCAGTCTCATGATGATACCTAGCTAATTTAAATGGAATCGACAAAGCCTCTTCCATATACCTGTGTTTTGCTGTGTCATTTAGAAATGCTTTCTTTGCTGTATGTTCTCCATTTTTGCCTCTCCAGATCTTTTCTTCACTCTGCTCTACTCTTGGAAGCAACTTCTACATGCTATCTCACCCTTTTGACTTTGCTCAGTGGGAGACACATCAGCTTCTGCAGTTCCCTCCTGTTAGATTTTGTGTTACTAGGGCTGTTCTATTTTGAGTAGATTACAACTCCTACTCAGTGACCCTCTCTAAAAGCTACATATAGTTACAGATCTTTCTAGGTTCTGGTAATCCTTCACTTGCTGGCTCCTTTATACCTGGAGATGATAATGGCTTCCCAATGAACCCTTAGGGGTGTGCTAGTGTCCTTTGTTGCTTTCCCTAAACCCTGCCTATACCTTTGAAATGGTGCTTTCATTAAATTCTCTTGAATACTTAATTTGAGTGTGTTATGTTTTGGCAGGACCCTGCTGATGATATCCATCTATGTCTAAAACAGATTTGATGTAGATTCCTTTTCTGCACTGGACACCAATACAGCTAATTGTAATACCATATAGAAACAGGAGCCCATGGGTGCCCATCTTGGCTTTCTTGGGAGGGAGGAGGGTAATGGTTCCCTTGGCATACTCCAAGTATGGTATCACCATTATGCCAAATCA